CATCGAGGCGCGCTTTTGCCAAAAAATCGACGCCAGATAAATTGAATCGCGGCAAGCTCGAATATTCAAATTGTACGAGAAGCGGCGAAGAAAAAGCCAATAAAGTATGAATATATTGCCTTCGAAGAGAATGAGATTTTTTTATATATGATTTATACATTATTATCAATTAAAAATTTATTTTATAACGCTGTATTATTTGTTAGCGTCTCGACAAAAATCCGTATCGATAGAACGACTTTCAAGAATTACGAGTGTTGAATAATGAATTTAATAGGAATCTGATTACGAGCAGGCAGCATTATTGCGAAATACCGACGTAATTCTTATGTTGTAGGAAAGATGCGCGCGATATAATATGGAGATGCTCGATGGGAGCGAGATGTCAACGTCAGCCCTTGGAATGGACGCGCATGGCCTTTCTGGTCAACGAATGTAATCTCGTTTCGCAGTGACGCTCTTAGTTGTTCAATAAGTTTTGTAAGAAGAAAACATTCCTTTTCTCTCAAAAGAGAGTATGATTCGCAAATTTACTACAATTCTAATTGATAAACAATATTCAAACGAGCTTCAGCTTCCTCTATAATATTATCGATCTTTATTAACTAACATAAAATCTTATAATAATATGATACTAAAACCTTGAAGAATTTATAGCAAAAAGCGTGAAAAAAAGTTGAAAAATTGACAAGTACCTATAGGAAAAATGGAAGTTTCTCTAATTTTTGCCCTCTCTCGCGAACGAGGGAAAGAAGGAACCACGTCGTCTTTCGAAAATGAGCGATTCACAGGCAATTCTTCCTCGTTCTCGAATGAGAGCCGCTGTCGGCATCCCGGAGCCAGTGGCGCGAGTAAACCAATAACGCGTCCGCCACGCCGGGTGCCAGATTCAAATCCGGCAGGGACCGAAACGGTATTCCACGACGGAGCGGATAGCGGGAGCTCCGCAGGACATTTCGAATCCGTCTCCGCGCGTCCTGCGGGCTTTACTGGTTTGTCGAGCCATTGGCTCGATTCGACAATTCCGCGCGCGTTCAACTTTCTCGCGAAAGAGGATGAATGCGATCGTTCTACACAAAACTGTTGCTCTCGCACAATTTTACTTAATCTGCTTGTTGCAACATTTTCTCAAAATCTCGAAAAGATGGAGAATAATTTAATTGAGCATCGTCGAATCAATTTCCACGACAACTTCTTATTATTATTATTATCATCGAACTTAAATAATAATTGTAGCAGAAATTAAATTAAATTGTGCTTTCGATTGGAAAGTAGAACGAATCATAATAGCCAACCTGTATGTATAATGCGAGAGAAAAATTTCTTTGTGATAAATAATGAATCGTGTTTCTTTAACGTGAAACAAGATTCTTGGAGACGCAAACAAGATTTTTAAAACAGCATCAACCTGCACACGTAAGAAACTTTTGTTCGCGAGATACATGGACAATACATGGATAAACGCAAGTAAAAAGTTTGAAATACCCAAAAAGTGTATCTTCCGATTTTGTTTAGCTAAATCGAACAAGATGTACATATAGAATATATTATTGCAGCAAGATGAAAAAGTCTGCAACAGGGTGAGTTTCGTTTCGGAAAAAAAAAAAAAAAAAAAAAAAGCGGAAGAAGAAAGAAGAGAGAGAAAGAGAGTCGGCGAAAGAGGAAAGAGCCCGAGATATTCCACCCGTTCCACAAGGTGTACGAAGCGTATCCAATTTGATGGCATTACAATAACGGGGGTAATGTCTGAGAATAATGAAATTTCCCCCAATCACCACGGCTCGCCTGGAATACGTTCCTTCGTTCCGTTCGCGTACCTCCTCTCATTCTTCCTCTTTCTTTTTTCCCTCCTCTTTCTCCTCTTCGAACCGAGGTCTTCTATCGTCTACCACACGCACACATGACCGCACATGGACGGACACGCACAAACGGATCAGAGAAAATGAGTAGAAACGTTTTCGAATCAATCCCGTTCGCGAATTATCTCGCTCCCCCTCAGACGAAAGATTTCTGAATATTTTGGTTTAAGAAGCGAATTCTGTACAAAAGTTTTCGAATGCGACGACGGATGTGACGTTTGTAAAAATGCACTCCCAAGATATTTCGTGATGCTACATATATGTGATAAAAATTCAAAGACAATATAATAAAAATTTGTTTTAATTCTTCTGAATATATAACTTTAGAAAAATCACTTTGTAAGAAAGCACAGTAAATAAATATACATTACATGGACAAATATATATATATTCATCTGTTAGGGCAAAATATAAACTTCTGAAAAAAATTATTATAAAAATTAATTTTACAACCATTCAGACAAAATAAAGTCTTTGAATTGAATAAAATTTTATTTTGTTAAAGTATGCGGTGTTGATCCATTTTCGAAATTACAAAAGAAATGAACGATGTAATATCCGAAGACTTGGCTGAATGTGAGACTGAAATTCCTTTTGGCCGTTCGATCGCTTCGCGTTTTAGCTCTCGATTCGTTCGACGCCTCGTTGCCCGGCGCAATAATTCTCGAGCGAACTGTACGTAATGGAATATTACACGGACCATTAAAGAAACGTTAATCTTGCCCACAACAAGTTCAGAAGCGCTCGCAAGATCCTCAAACGCGGCCGGGATTACGCGCCCGGCTTTGATCCTCCAACGCCCCGAAGGCGCGCTCCGCGGAATCCGCAAGCTCTCCTGTAATTTGTTAAAACGCGAAATTCTGTAACGTCGCTGTTTGTGTCGGCGCCTCGTTACCGCTTAAAATGCTTAAAAGTCACGCCTTTGACGACTCGCCGTAACATACCTGCGTCTTTTTCTACCGTTTTTCATTTCATTTCTTTTTCTTCGCCAACGATTTATATCTACACCTAAATATAGCCGAAAGTTAAATAGACTAGAGATCACCTACATCGATACGAATTGTATCATTGTAAAGTACTATTTTTTTTTTAGGGTTATGGAATTAAATGCATAAAAAATTAATGACCTAAAATTCGCAATTTTGCAAATTGCTTGAAACGCTTGGATCGCTTAGGTCTACTATTTTTCTTGAACGGAGAGGGCTACGGAAGAAGCCGCGAAGATGAACTCTCGTCGGCTTTCTTTCACGGGGCGAGCCTTTGACACTTTTTTTCTCACGTCGATAAGAATGCTCTCCCGGTTCTGTCATCCTTTCCCTCCTCCCTGCGACTTTCACCCGTGGCCTCTCCACGAGGGTGGCTCGCGTACACCTCGGCGTTGTTACGAAGACGCGAAGGAGGGAACCAGTCAGCCAAGCTTCGGCGAGGAAGGCAGACGAATAGAACGAAGGAGACGCGACGCATACAGAAACAAGGAGGAACGGCGTAGGGCAATGTCGGGGGAGGGTAGAAAGAGGGTTTAGCGACCCTCTTTCGCTTTTTACCCTAAGCGAGTCGAGAGCCCCTTAGCCACCGTTTATTGGACGCATGCAAATATCCATGGCAACGGCGGTATACGGGGAGGAACCAACCCCGTCGTCGTGAACACCAAACGTATCGCGGGGTTGAGGGGGACGAGGGAGGAGGGTTGGGTCCTCGCTCTTTCTTTCTCCACAGGTTGGAAAAAAAGAGACATAAAAAAGGAAGACGTCAGAGAATTTTCTTTTGATCCGCGCTCTCTCGTCGTCGACCGTTCTCGAGCAATCTCTTAATTGATTCTACGGGAATCGGTATTAAGTTCCTTTTCGGTGGACGCTTCTTTCGCGTTAAACATATGTGCCCTATTATATATTTCAAACTCAGTTTGCGTACTCCTACTTTCGCATTTATTCATTCCTAATAAAGATATGAATTTCTTCGTCTTCATCTTCGTCTGGATATCCTTCGAGTTATAAAATGTCATCGGGTTTTCACCATTTAAATTCCAGAGACGCGAATAGGAAATAGTTCTCTTCGCTCCTCTTTACTTTTTATTACTCTCCCGACGAAAAACAGCAGCTCTATACTTTATCGCGGAACGATAATAATAATAATAAAAAAAAATCGCATTTAACGTTAATGTGTCAAAACCGTGCGATTGCAGTAGACGTTTGAACGACAGACGAGATTCTCTGTCGGAATCTCGTGGAATGTCGCGATTGCGAGATGGGAAGAATGATTCGCGTTTGGGGGACCCGTCGGGGCGGAACCGGTTAACGCCAAATCGTCCGTCATCCGTTTGCGCGATTAACCGCCTCGTGTTAACAACATCAGCCGCGACGAGCTGGGGGTGGAGTTTGCACACGTCGCCCATCAGCTCGCATAAACATCCTCTGTACAACCGGTCGCCACCCCACGGAAAACTGATTTCCATCTCTCGCCTCTCTTCGTCCCTTCCTGCGTGCGACTCGCGCTATCTATGGAAATGCGGTCCTGTTTTGTGTGAGTAGAGACAAAGCCCCCGTTGACAATACGCCTGCGCGTTTACAACCTTCGCCCGCCCGCCGAAAGTCAGGCTCCATTACGGCTGTTTTGCGACGCGCTTTGTATTGTCGACACCGATTCTTCCGCGGAAAACTTCTGTCGAGTCGTGTTTAATCGGCCGGCGAGCTTTAACTATGTAAATTAACGATCGACGGATCTTTTCCTAAAGCGCGAACGGGTCGTATATTTTTACTGCTTCTTAAAGAAATTATGCGTTTTCATTTTTGCGATGTATTTTTTATGGTCCACCAGAAAAATCTGGTATATATATATCCTTTTGTAACAGATTTAAAACGCGTCGGATGATGTAGAATGATCGAATGGAGTTTTTGCAAATTTTTATAAATAACTCCATTACGCATTCGCGATCGATGAAAAGCATTTTTTTTTTTTTTTTTCCACATAGAAAAATGATCTATATATGTATATTTACTCTCTTTCAATCATATCGAGTATAGGTCAATTTGTTTACCGTGTCAGGTAAATATGCTCAGCCATCGGTTTATCAATTTTTTTCTTTAACATAAGTAAAAGCAAGAAAAATGTCGGAACATATTGTAGGGAACATACTGTACTTACACTCGGGATGTTGTCGTTCGTGCACACGCCTTCCTGCAGCAAGCGATCTCGAATCTCCCACGCAAAGATCGACGGGCACTCGCTTTTGTAGAGCGAGATCTTGTTGACGACTTCCGCCGTTGCCACACGCGGTTTACTGCCCCCGATTGCCCTGGGCCTTATAGATCCGGTCTCATAGTACCTACAACAATAATAATTTGCGGTACAATACGGTAGGAATTCGAGAAAAAATTCTTCAAATCAATATATTGATAATAGGACATTATCCCAAGTATATCGCGCCCCCATATTTAAATTTGGATCGAGCTGCAGAATGCGGGGGCAAAACCATTATATATATGTATATGTATATATATATATATATATATACTTTACGCTTTTTTATGGCGCAATGGCTATGTATAACATGAAAGAGTTTGAATAACCTACTTATAACTTTCTTTCAACCAGTTTGAATTTTATTATAATTTTGAGGTGGTTTTGCACTTTTCACAATTTAAAAAAAATTCTAAAATAAGAGTCTAAATTAGTTTGAATAACCTACTTATAACTTTCTTTTAACCAGTTTGAATTTTGTTATAATTTTGAGATGTTTTTGTACTTTTCACAATTTTGAAAAAATTCTAAAATAAGAGTCTAAATTAAGATACGATTCGACCATTTAAATCGACAAGGGCACAATGATTTGAATTGGGAATAATGTGTCTTGAAATAGAATAAGCAATACTGCAACCAACCTGCCGAGGATCTTCGAGACGCAGCCGTTGCTGACCTGCAGTATCCTGGAGATGTCGCATGGTCGCGCACCCGAATGTGCGAGCTCGACGATCTTTTGCCGCGTCGAGTCCGGAAGTGGCCGGCCGCCGACGAAGACACCACCCAGCTGGTTAACCCCGCTGTGTCCTGCGGAAAAGATGAAGGTCGCGCATATACTTGGTGCTTATACTTTCAAACAGTCATTTCTTCTTGAGAACCAACACACAGATCGAGAGCGATGTAAAAAATTACTCCGACAAAAAAATCATATTTCTCAGAATTATTTTCTCAATTTCCCCTTCCGCGTCGAATAATCGCGTGAGGGGTGTGAAAAGTTGAAATGCTCCACCGCCTCTGGTGACTTTTTCGCGTTTCGACGAACAATACCGCTGTCGCCGTAGATCATGTATTTTCTCTCCTCCCGTTCAGAAGCTCAAATCCGGAGAGGAGAGAAGAAGAGACTACGGCGGGTTCTTTCTTTCTTTCTTTTCGCGCTCGACGCGAAAGGGGGCGACGGGGTGGCGGAGGACGAGCGCAGGGGGTTGGTCGCGAGCGTCGTAATGTCAGCGAATCCCATCGTAGATAATCTTCGACTCATTGTGCCGGTGACAAGGCAGGCACACACGCCACCGTCTTGGGACACTCGAGAGAAACGTCAGGGAGAGAAGAGAGAGAGAGAGAGAGAGAGAGAGAGAGAGAGAGAGAGAGAGAGAGAGAGAGAGAGAGAGAGAGAGAGAGAGAGAAAGAAGCGTTCCCTCGCGTAGATATTTTATATTCCCGTCACCGCCGCGCGCAAAAGCTGCATCCGAAGGTGACACCTAGAGTGGAATGCCACGCCCTAATTTTTCTGGGGTAGAGAACCTATCTTTTCAAGAAATTGGGGAAACTTTTTAAATAAGGTAAGAAATAAGCAAGTGTCATTACATAACAAATATTCTCATTTTTTAATCATTTATAAAGAGGTTGGATGAGAAAGATTGTGAATCTAGTGAAAAGAATGAAAGAAGAATCCTGATTTTCTACGTATAATAAATTAGAAAAATTGATTACTGCGGGAATTAATTATGAGAAATATGATTAGTTTTATACGATCGTAAGAAATAAAGAGAAAGAATTCTGAAGAATTCTTTTTGCATGCTGCAATATTATGATATTTCTTAAAAAATACATTTTTTTCTCTTGTTAGTTAATAACAATTAACAATTTGAAAATAATTTTCCATAAATATTTCTTCCATAAATTGTATCACAATTTTGCACCGCAAAGGATTAGATTTCTTTCCATCTCATACATAGTAAAAATAAAAATTGTTAAATGTTTTATATATAAACCTATGCGCTAAATCTAGTATAGTAACAGATATAAAAAAAAAGTAAAATACAAAAAGAAGATTAAATCTTCAGCTTGCATTGAAACATCGATTGGAAACCATCGTCAAATGGAATAAAGTATGTTAGTGCGGACATATATATATATATATGTATACATAGGTTTCATACACAGATCTATCGCTCGTAAGGTCCGTTAGGAAAAAAGCAACGTTGGTTGTCAAAAATATCCTGTTGACGCTAATTCGGCGCGTCGCATCGCGTCGACTGGCATACACCCGGAGGGTTATAAGGGAGATTTACGAGCGCGCGCGATCGACGAAAAGGGGGCTCACGGTCGATTGACTTTCGAAAATGGGCCTGGCGCGAGAATCGCGAGCCATTTCTCGCGTGTATGTCCCATCGTGAATGGGACTCCCTCGTTTTCGAAAGAGAGAAAAAAAAACAGAGAGAGAAAACTAAGGGTGGGAGAAAAAGACTACCCCACATAAATGTAAACTATCGCGTTACAATTCACGAATTAACGTGTCTATAGGTATATGTTTTAATAAGTCGCCACACTTATTTTTATTTTTTTTTTTTATATAAAAATCTAGAAAGAAGAGGCATAAGGGATACGCATATTGAAGCAACGGAAGCGGAAATTCTCGGGCAAAGAAATCTGCCGATAATACCGCGCGTAGGAATCCCTCGCAAATCGCGGCGGGCAAAAAGCGGAGCAGTAAATTAAAGAAACAAATGGAGTCTGAAAAGGAGGGCGAACGCGAGCAAATTGTTAAACGCGCTTCAAATGCCGGTTCTTAACGAGCGATAATAACTCGCGCAAATAACTGGCGCGTCTTTAGAGAGGGCTACTTTCTCTCTCCTTTTCGCCCCCTTGCCATCGCTCGCCCGGCCATTGTGTTCGAGCACGAGAGAGCATCGGGGAATTATAGTTAGCTCCTCGTCGTGGACCCAACGCGGATTCTAGGGATATATACGTTTGTATTAGAGTCGGTACAACAACACGGAGCGCAAAGGGGGTGCGCGATACTGCGCCTTTAAGGCACCCAGTGTTAACCACGCGCGACTAAGGGGTGCGCTCGAGTGGGCATTCGGACCCAGAGGACGTGTTTTGATATTGTAACATTTGTATTAAATATCAAGCCCGAGAGGGTGCCTGCCTCGGCGCCGTTTATTAGGACTTCATTAGTCGTCCCTTGATCCTTTCTCACCCCAGTTACCCTTTCCCATATCATGATGCATCAACGAACACGCGCGAAATTTTTCTGAATGTCCGTCGCCGTTTTTCTACGGATCTCTGACAAGTCATTGTTAGTACATTGTAATTCTCTTTGATATATTATTTTATATTAATATTCTGTCGGTATTTTCATATGCAACAATCAGAATCACGAGATACGAGAAATTACGAAATATCAAGAAGGGAAATGACATATATATTTTGAGAGAAGGATAGATTATTTTCAAAGCAATAATTTTCACGAGTCAAACTTTTGGTTAGAGAGATTTTTCAAAGAGAAAAAAATAAAAATAGCATATAAAGCACCGCTTTGAAGAATTATTGCAGCGTATTTAACATAGAGAAAGTTTTTTCACCATTACATTTGTTGAAACACGTAAGCGACATTTGCAAATAGTTCTTCGCACATGTCTAACATAATTAAACGCAAACGAGGGTCAACTGTCTTGGAATTGCGCACCGCTTTGTTTTAATGTACGTCATACGTATGAAATCTATATGTACGTGACAGTGTAATTAGATCAAGGACGTTTATTCTGTGCTAACAAACGCAGATATATTGTTGCGGTATAAACTCATTATAATATATACGCTATTTCTTATTGTTAGAAGATAACTTCTCATCTGTCGACGTAATAATGTATTTCCAATAGTTATACTCAAGGCAAACTTTCTTATCCAACGTTAACGCAACTGGCTCTGATAAAACCTTGTACAAATGCATTATTCCGAACGAGCATAGTCTGGAAATGTTTTTCTCTTTGAATTATATGTAAAAAATTCTCTGTAAAAAATCGATTCTCTTTTTGTTCTTTCGTCGTTCTTTGATATGTTCAACTAGTATCAGTATACGTATCAGTATACTTTGAATTATCTTGTTATAATGACCGATAAGCTGAAAGAATATACTAATTTCCATTGCCACAGCTGCGATACACTTATCTAAGACTAATACTATTGTGTATTATTCCAGATGATAAAAAGAATGACAAAATAATATTAATATCATGTTCCACGTGTACGGAATAAAATATTTTATGCATGTATGCCATATGGATGTATATGCATATGTTACTGTCGTATGTAAAGAAAGATACGGTAATGCTTTTTCACAGCCTTACAATCTATACAATTTCTAATTAGTTTCGTTACTCCTACAATTTGTTCTTTTATGTATACTTTACGTTGCGCGTGAATAAAAAGCGCACAATTTTAGAGGGAGCAAGTCGAATGGCAAGTGATCAGCGAACGCTAATCGAGGATCGACGAGCAAAGTGTTTTCGGATGTACGCAGACAGTTTGATACTTTTGGCAGCGCGTAAAGAACCGTGGAAAAAAAATGGGAAGCTCGTTTACAAACGGGCAACAGAGCCTCGCTGACGCGACGGCTCAGACAGCACATTCATCATCCGTCCGACTTATATATCCACCTCTCGTTTCCCTTCTTGTTCTTTCGGGGTGGTCCTCCTCTCGCCATCGTGACGTAATCAATTACGACGAGCAGCAGCGGCTCGCCGGAGGTTGCCGGCTTCCTCTACTTGCTCCGTGTATTCCGATTTCTCATACTAAGAGAAAAAGTATTGTGTTTTGATTCGCTCTTTCAAATTTTTATTGCCTTCTTTTATATTTTTTCTGCATCTTGTAAACTTGTAGTTTCCATTTCTATAGTTCCTTTTTTTATTTCAAAAAATCCTTAAAGAATATATTATAGAACAATTTTATATAAAACATACTTCAATTTTATTTGAGAAAGCGAATCATAATAGAATATTTTTTCTTCTAGTAGAAGAAACGAGAACACATTTTATTTGATTAAAAATCATGAGAATAAACAGTATATGCAAAATTGATTAAGATTTCGATCATGATTCAAGTTCGCAGAAATAAAATATTAATTTTACATAAATATAGAAATACACGTTGCTATATATATAATTTCATTATTAAATCGGACAAGTACAATTAAGTACAGAATACTTGAGATATATAACGCGGCAATTAAATAGTCAAATTTGAGATTCCCATATCCATTCAACGAAACAATAATTGTATATCGATGATCGATCGAATTTTGTTCGACGTGAAAAGCCTAAAAGTTCTCCTCCGTCCTATCTATTGTCACGAGTGATTGTGCACCCTTGTATCGAGTTGTGCAGAAGTTACGAACTTGAAAACAAAACGGCAATCCTTATCGGCGCTCCGTTAAAGTGCTATGACAAACGCTTACATAGTCGAAGAGTTCACCTAGACCTAGAGTTGTCGACGAGGCCCGTCGTCGGACGTGTCTCAATCATCCACCGCAAAGATGCGTTTCCGGCGAATGAATGAACGGAGGAAACACCCTTCGAACACCCATTTGAGGCTCCTCAACTTCGGGTAAATAGGTGCCGAGGGATGCCCACTTGGGCTCGAGTGGCATGGTGTATTTCGCCACGGTAATCGCTCAAGAAGATGAAGAAGAAACGAACTCTCCCGATCATGCCGAAGTGTCATTTCACGCCGATTCGAAAAACTAGCAATCGCAATTTTTGGAATCAGGTGAATTTCATTCTCTACAACTTGTAACAAAATTAAGA